GAAGCAGATTATTATTGTAGATCACGCAGGGAGAACAAAGGGTAACATATTTAACTGTGGTAGTGTTTGTCTATATTCTGTGCAGTGAGAAAACCTGAAGTCATCTTCAAGGTCCACCATTTCTTACTTCTTTTCAGTCAGGTCAAGTTTCTAAACCTTCTAAATCTCCATTTTCTGGCTAATGAAAAGAAAGTAGGATTCTACCAAGTCTCCTATCTAACTACTCCAGGACTTTTGTGAGGATCAAATGAAATTAGGCACATGAAAATGTTTCACAGACATTTGGTTAAAGTGTAAAATGTTTCCACCTGGCTATAAAGCAAGTCGTGTTACTGGGCTGAAGAAACTCCAAGAAGGCTAGTCGCTAGGGAGAGGAAGCTGGGTGTTGCTATGTGACATCATTACCCAGAGCCCACAGCGACCATTTCCGGGCTGGGCTGGGCTGGGCTGTGGACCGCATTTTGCACCATGGGGTCTTGGCAGCATTGGCTGCGATTTGGTGGGCTATCGCTCTGGAGTGTGGCGGGGCCTGTGTCCCATTTGGGGGAAGCCAAGTGTTGCTTTGTGGGTGCCAGGTTCGTGGTGCTGTTTCTTTGTAAATGACCAGTGCACGTCACAGCAGCTCCTGCGTTAAGCATCTGCCCCCTGGTGGTCAGTGAGCATCATAGCGACCAGTCAGACGGTCAGACAGACAGTTAGCATTTTAGCCTTTTATATATAAACACTAGAGGCCTGTTGCACGAAAAGATTCATGCAATAGGCCTTCCCTTCCCCTGGCTGCCGGCACTGGTTTTCCTCCAGCACCCGGGACCCAGGCCTTCGCTCCAGCCAGAGCCCCCTTCAAAGCTTTCGCTGCTCTGGCCGGAGCCGTCTTCAAAGCCCTCACTGCTTTGGCCGGAGCTGCCTTCAAAGCCTTCGCTGCTCCGGCCAGAGCCACCTTCAGTCTTCGCTCCGCCGCTTCGCGCCATATACAAATTAACTGCCATCTTTGTTGGCGGTTAATTTGCATATCACTCTGATTAGCCAATGGGTGGCGTAGCGAAGGTATGATCAATTACCTTGTTTGTCTACTATTAGATAGGATTCCTCCTCATTAATTAGTTTATCAAGCAGTCTATAGTGGCACATTTTTAATTGCATACGCTGCATTATTGAGTATATTGCAGACAGAAGAGAAATTACATTTTGACTAAGCCTTAATGAAAACCCAATTCCTCGCTTACAGTTTTACATGTGAGATGATGAGAACAATTTTCCACAGACCAGCTTTCAGTTCATACATTTTCAATGTTTTTTTCTCTACCAGATGTTGTAGGTAATGTTCAAAATCGTCTCTGATCCTGCACCTTCATGTCATGAAACTGTTAAGTCCACACAGTGGGTGGTAGGAATATTCTTGGAAGCTTTCTCTACACCTGAATGTCTTAATATAACTAACTTAACTATACATCAAAGTGAGTAGGAACTACTTAACCACATCCTACTAAGCCCAGACAAAGTGTATTTGCAAACTGACTTCCCTAGTGGCTGGATTGCCAAAATTCCTACAGCCTTGATATGAGGGGCAGCATGTGCAGAGGAAGCTGGGGTAGGAAGAGATAGCAGCTTTCATTGTGAACACAACCCTCAACCTTTTCCCAGGGTCTTAGAAAGAGGCCGTGCAAGTAATAGAGAAACAAGCTTAAGCTTCCTTAACGTCACAGTAAACGCACCTCTGATGAAGGGAGAGCTGCTCTGCAAAGCTCATAGCATGTGCAGAGGAAGCTGGAGTAGGAAGAGATAGCAGCAGCAGCTTTCGTTGTGAACACAACCCTCAACCTTTCCCAGGGTCTTGGGAAGAGGCTGTGCAAGGAACAAGCTTAAGCTTCTTTAACTTCACAGTAAATGCACCTCTGATGAAGGGAGAGCTGCTCTGCAAAGCTCAGTGACCAAGAGTCCAAAGCAGACCATTTTCCTCACTCCTGGTAATAACAGAGCACTGGCATCTGAGCACTGGGAAGGTTTGGGAAAGACTGGAGGTTTGGAATGATAACGTCCTGTGACATGGACATCAATGTTTACATGAGGAACAGTGTCCAGGGTGAGCCTTTACCAAAGGGGCTTTCAGGCAGAGATGGGGATGAGGGGCCGCTGCTGCCAGGCAGGAAGTCAGCCATGAGATGCCTGAAGCTGATAGACTGGTTTGATAATAATGCTAATGAGCACAGATATTATCTGAGTGTTTTTCCTCCCTCTTGGCAGACAAGGAAACCCAGTCATATAATGACTCTTCAAGCACAAGTGAAGTCCCCCTTGGAAGAACGAGTGGATCTACTGAAAGCAGGAATTTTAGGACACATGTGAAACCTAAGCATAGAATAAAATTCTGGAAAAATCAATTCCAGTCTGTAATTAGGGTTTATATCTGGATAGATTATGGTAGCTTTAATAATTATTAGTTTATTTATATATGCTGAAATGCTTTACAAACAACATGTGCCCCTTTTGTATATTTTATGTTATTTTTAAAAATTTGCTAACTGTTATACATGTAAGAAGAAATACATGAGTTTCCCCAAAATATTTAGGGAGAACCTAGGGAAAGTTGTGAAGCCCTGTGGAAAACTGGGAGATGTACCCAGAAATAGCAAGGCTGACCCTTACTGTGGTATATAGGAGATCCAGACCAAAGACCTACAATCTGCACTTCGCTGTCTGTGGAAACCCATCTAGGCTTTGTTAAAGCTATACTGTCAGTTTCAGCCTCCTGGGGCAGCTGAGCCAGAACATGGGGCCTTGGACTCAAGAGGTGCTGCTAAACTAGCTTGGGGCCAGGGTATGCCCATATGATTGACCCTTCCTTAAGCCTACGGGGTCACGGTGAGACTATGGACCACAGGAACATATCCATGGTATAACACCTAATAGCTGTGCATTTCCTATTCCTTTAATAAAATTTCATTTTGCAGGAGGGGCTGTTTTTATTAGTTTACAAGCTGTCCAAAAGGATAAATTTCTATTTCTGGCTGTAAATAGAAATGTTAACACTCCAGAAAGGTAACTAGGAACTGTTGTAACTAGGGGTGTCTTGGGCTTAAGCATTATCTGGTTTGTTCTCTCTCCTATGCATGCATCAGGCCTGTCTTTTTGGCTTTAATTCCTGCTCTTCCTTTACATGTAATAAACACTCTAGCCAAGGAATAACCACTAGTTCCATGCAAGGTCACAATATGTCCTCAGCATGAAATGCCCTCCTACTCTATCTCTGTAGGTCCCCATCTAAATATCCCTCAAGTGTTTGCTCAAATGCCTTCCTGGTCTGCCATTCCTCTGACCCTCCCAGAAGCACTTGATTAGAACATTTTTACAGCACACATTCCTTTCTTCTTTGCATTAGTTTCTGGAGGTAGGGAAGTAGAGCTTTCTTTTTAAGAAGTAGATTGTAAGACTTCCAGCTAGGAGTAATAAACAGGTGATTTTAAACAATTCCTTTGAATTAATGGTGACACAAGCTGAGTTTCAAATGTAGGGGATGGGGGGAGGGGGTAACCTGATCTCTGACCTTCAACCAGTAGGCATTACATTCCCAGCCAGGTCCACCTCCTGCACATGCTGAAATTTATACGATGGAAGAGAATGGGGAATATGCTCATTTTCTGAAGCTCTAGAACATATTTCTAGTCGTGTATCTATATATTTTTCTAACTTGAGTAGCTAAGTCTCTGATAAATTTTCAAAACAAGGTAAAATTATGACATGTATAAGAAATATGTTATATTTATAAAATAAGAGATTATACCCAGCCGGCATGGCTCAGTGGTTGAGTATCAACCGGTGAAATAGGAGGTCCCAGTTTGATTCCCAGTCAGGGCACATGCCCAGGTTGTGGGCTTACTCCCCAGTAGGGGGCCTGCAGGAGGCAGCTGATCAATGATTCTCTCTCATCATTGATGTTTCTATCTCTCCCTCTCCCTTTCTCTATGAAATAAATAAAAAACATATGTTAAAAAAATAAAAACTAAGAGATTATTTTATAGTATGTATAAAATAAACACATGTCAAAGATTTTTATGAAATTCATGAAATAATGAGAGAACTGGGGAATTTGTTAAAATCAATTCAAAGGAGGAGTCAAAGAACTACAAATTCATATGGAGTAAAGGAATGTTGAAATAAATTTATAAGTAAAAGAAAAATTGAATTTTTCTACGGGAGTGAGTGGGTGATCAGAGAAGTCAATTCAACCTCCACCAGGTAGAATTTACCTGTGTGTCTATAGATATGAAAGACAGAATGATGCCTCCCTTCCTGCACCTCCAAGATGCCCACATCATAATCCTCAGACCCTGTGGATATGTTAGGTTACATGGCAAAGGGAATGGAGGTTGCAGAGGGGATTAAGATTGCCAATCAGCTGACCTGATCATAGAGAGATTATCCTGGATTATCCATCTGGGCCCAATGTAATCACAAGGGCCCTTGAAAGTGGAAGAGAGTAAGCAGCAGAAAGTTAAAGGGAGCTGTGACCACTGAAGAAAGGTCAGAAGGATGCAAGATTGCTGGCTTTGAAGGTGGAAAAAGAGGTCCAAGAATCCAGGATGTTGTGGACTCTAAAAGCTGGAAAAGACAAGAAAACGAAATTTTCCCTACAACCTTCAGAAAAAAAAAAAAAAGTGGAGCTCTGTAGATACCTTGATCTTAGTCCAGTGAGAGACCTGTGTGGGACTTCTGGCCTCCAAACCTATAAGACAGTAAAGTTGTGTTAAATTTTTAAAGGAGCAGTAGAAAATTAACATAGTAGACAAGAATTAGTTACATTGCTATCAGTTATCTACGATTTACAGAGTTTAAAAATAGCCTAGTCAGAGTTAAAAATAGAGTAGTCAGAGTTTAAAAATAGCCTAGTCCAGCGGTTCTCAACCTGTGGGTCGCAACCCCTTTGGGGGTCGAACGACCCTTCACAGGGGTCGCCTAAATACATCCTGCATATCAGATATTTACATTACGATTCATAACAGTAGCAAAATTACAGTTATGAAGTAGCAACGAAAATAATTTTATGGTTGGGGGTCACCACAACATGAGGAACTGTATTAAAGGGTCACGGCATTAGGAAGGTTGAGAACCACTGGCCTAGTCAAAAACAAAGGTGCGCACACACACACACACAATTAAGACCTCATACTTAAGCTACATCAGCAGAGCTTATGGAGCTTACTTTTCAGGCAGCAAATAAAAGTTGGAATGTACTCCTAATGAGATGAATGACTCAGCACTTAGCAATTACAAAGATGCCCTATCCAACCACAGGATCATTAATCACTGATTGAAGCAGAAATGAGCAAATTGATGATTTGATGGTTCAGTAGATCTCCCTTGAAAACTGGGGAGAGCCAAATCATCAATAACTCTGGAAGCAATTCTTGCTCCATCAGCCAATTTCTAGCCAAAAGGAGTAACAGCCTCTTGGTATTCAACTGCTGCAGCTTCAGGGTTTATGTTACAGCAAAATTTTCTTTCCTTCAATTAAAATAAGCTGTGTAACACTTATGACTGGACTCTTATCCTATGGAAATTCTTATCAAGTAGAAATTGAATGACCGACACTGGAAAAAAACCACAAAAATATAAAAAGCATCAGATAAAAAAAATGAAGATTAAAGCAGAATCATATGACTTTTGCTTTCCTGGCATCTATACCTCATTCTTTTCATAACAACACTTAAGAGTGTCAGAGGAAGCTGATCTCATATATATTCCTCTTACCACTCCATTCAGACAAGAGTGGTGAATGACCCAAGCCTGGCCCATCTGTGTCAATGATAGGTTTAAGAATTTATGAGCCTGGCCAGTGTGGCTCAGTGGTTGAGCATCGACCTATAAACCAGGAGGTCATGGTTCCATTCCCGGTCAGGGTATATGCCCGGCTTTCTGGCTTGGCCCCCAGTAGGAGGTGTGCAGGAGGCAGCTGATCAATGATTCTCATCATTGATGTTTCTCTCTCTCTCTCTCTCTCTCTCTCTCTCTCTCTCTCTCTCCCTCGCCCTTCCTCTCTGAAAGGAATAAAAATATATTTAAAAACAAAAAGAATTTATGGGACCAAATTTGACCCACTAAGAATCAAGCCTGGATCATTATTTAACAAGTATCAGGTAAGAGGCACTTTCTATGGTCTAGTCTTGCTAACGTGGTAGAATATGGACTTGAGTTGAGGGAGAATCAGCTTGACAATGAAGTCAACTCAGAGGGAAGCAGAAAGGAGAACACGGAGTCATTTGATATCATTTTTACTCTGTTGTGGTTTTTTTTTAATGTTTTTATTGATTTGAGAGAGAGAGAAAGGGAGAATGATAGAGAGATAGAAACATAAATAGGCTGCCTTTTGCATGCCCCCTACTGGGGATTGAGCCGAAAACCCAGGCATGTGCCTTGACTGGGAACTGAACCAGGGACCACAGGGTTCATGGGTCAATGTTCAACCACTGAGCAACACTAGCCAGGCTCATTTGTACTCTTAATTCTAGTCATGTCTATTATAAGATCATCTACCTCTGGTTTTTCCAAAGTAATCAATTATTTTGTCCCCTTTCCCTCATAAGTCTGCTTGGGCTTAATTTCTGTTATTTGCCATCAGGAGAGTCCTGAATAAGACAACCATGTATATTTGATAAGTTATCTCACTACTGTTAAAAGATAACCCAGGGCATATTAAAATTTTTGTTTATTTGAGCAAAAATTGATTCAAGTCAGGTAGTGCCAAACCATAAGTGGTTAGAAGCACTACACTGACAGGAGCTAGAGAAGACTTTTATAGGGAAACGGCAGAAGCAAAGCAATGGAATTATTTGATAGGCTATACTTTAAATATTTGCCTTATTTGAAAAAATAAGACTAGTTGGTTGTTTGTGGTTGGTTGCCCTTAGGTTTTGCCTTCTTAACTTTGAGGCATGTTTAGGCTTGTGTTTTGGATGGCTAAAGTATTAGAACTACCTTGGTCTAATGCAGCAGTTCTCAACCTGTGGGTCTCGACCCCTTTGGGGGTCGAACGACCCTTTCACAGGGGTCGCCTAAGACCATTGGAAAACACATATATAATTACATATTGTTTTTGTGATTAATCACTATGCTTTAATTACGTTCAATTTGTAACAATGAAATTGGGGGTCACTACAACATGAGGAACTGTATTAAAGGGTCGTGGCATTAGGAAGGTTGAGAACCACTGGTCTAATGGCTTCCATATTTAATTAATTTAACACTACCAAACAGACTGGTTAAGGAAGAAAGTAAATAAATACACTTGGGGGTGGGGGATGGAGACAAATTTCAATTGTTAAAAATAAAAAATAAAAAAGGACCAAATATCATCTATTCATGATACTTCTTGATAATCACTGCATTTGATAGTTAACACTAACCACTAAAAGCTCTTACAGAAACCAATGTTTTGGCAAAGTGGCTTCAACTTCTACCATAATCACAATGTATTTTATACTGTTCCTGAATCACCTGAAACACTGTCTTGGAATCCATATCAGCATCTAAAGCCTGGGGGAATGATACAGAAATGGAGAAAATATAGTCTGCCTGTTATATACTTATGCTCTAGGGAGAGATAACAGAAGAAAATCTAGCTGTTACTAAAAATGAGTGCTATTTGTAAGAATAACTATAGCACAATTTGATAAATTGTTATCCCTTATTTTCATCCATTAAAAACAAATTATTTCTCCTTTGAAACCTTTTTAGAACTTCCATTGTAGGCCTATATCTGTGGTGCTTTTTAGTCTGTCTTCAGCACATCTGAGAATGCAGAAGAAGCAAAGAGAATGAAATCAAAATAACTCAATTATTAGAATAATATGATTAAGGTGATTCACTCAGCAAAAATGAAGTTGAACTATTAAAAAGAGTTTTAATGGGGAGTATTATCTTTGATAAATCAAGAAAGCAAACCATGAACCATTTGGAAAGCCACCTGGTTTGTGTCCCCTTTTCATTTATCTTAATTTAGCAGCTTCAGGGAGCATGGCCTGGCAGTTAGTGTGAGGTCTAAGGTTGTGGAACAGAGTGTTCCTCCACCTTTCCCTCATGTATAAACTTAGGTTGTTTTTTTCCCCCCAGCTTTGAAAGGGAAAGGAAAATTTTCAACTCATAACAAAAGACTAGCATCAAAACATAATTTTAACATTTAAGTAAACATTTTTTAAACTCTAACAAACCAATAATAATGGAGAGTAACAAAAGGCAAATCTTGGATGGCCTCTTCAAGTCATCTCTTCCCCCACAACATTGCTTCCGTTTAGAATTAATTCACCACTTCTCTCCTATATGTATGTAATGGCCTCCCAATTGATCTCTGGGCTTTTAATTTGCCCTACCGATCATATTCTATCCGGTTGCCAGAATGACTTAAATCTCACGATGTCACACTTCTGCTTAAAATTGTACCTGGATTTCAAGGTTAAATTCAGATTGTCTCCTTAGCACAGCTGCATGACTCTGTAGCTCACATCTTTCATCATCTGCCTCACTGGCACCTTCATTCTGGCCACACTGAACTAATCACCTGACTCCTGTTTGTTGCTTCCTGCACTTTGTTGCTGTCTGGAATCCCCTTCCCCACTTAGCCAACTTCGCCTGCCCTGCAAAACTTAGGGCCAGTATTACCTTTTCCAGGAAACCTTTCCAGTTCCTTCGGACCTAGGTCCCCTCCTAAGTGCTCCCTGTGATTAATTAGGCTTCTGCTGGTATCACACAGCACTGTGCGTGATTTCGGTTTACTTGTCTGTCTCTCCTGCAGTCTACAATACTCATCTTTTTTATCTTCTGTGCCAAGCTTCGGGCCTGTCACATAGCAGCTGCCTGAAGTGCCTGTTGAAAGAATTCATTTCAGAAGTAGAACCATGGGGCTGAATGAGCCCCCGGAGAAAAACAGCAAAGAAGAGGTTGCTGAGCCTTCTATATTAGGGAGTAAAGAGATTTCGTGGTCTGGAAATGGCAGTGGGCGGGGGGCATCTGTGAGCTGGAGAAGAGAAAAAAGTTGTTTCACCGGCCTCGATTTTTAGCTTACTGGGCCAAAAGGCGTGCAGGGCAGGTGGAGCCCAAACGAGAAAAACTACATTTCCCATTATGCCCCGGGGCACCGCTCCGGGTTTCCCCTCTTCAGCACCGCCTCTTCCTCGCGGAAGTGAAAGGAGCACTTCCGGTCCCGGCAAAACCCCGCGCCGGCGGCGTTAGGTCAGCCCCGTTGGGCCTTGCTCGGAAGCTCCGCCTTCGCTCAGGTCTTTCTAGAAACCCTGCTTTGCTCCTGGCGGTGCCGGACAGGTACTTCCCGGCCACTACGGGTGTCCCCGGGGCAGTCCGCCGCACTGGTGCTGGGGGGAACTTGTCTCTCTGGCGGGGGTTGGAGTTCTCGTGGGGTGCTCCCGGCTTGTGGCACCGTCAGAGAAGCCGGTTACGGGGGCCGGGGCCCCGCGCTGACATTTGTTTCTTTTCCTACTTGCAGCGTCCCGGACGCGTGCGTGTGTGTCCTCCATGGCGGATACGACCCCGAACGGCCCCCAAGGGGCGGGCGCAGTGGTAAGTGAGCCGGCCAGGTGATCTGACTTGATTTGCAGGAGTTAGGAAGGAGCAGGAAGTGTTGCCAGTCGGCCGAGGGCTCCAGAAGCTCTTTGCTTTCAGGACTGGGCTTAGTGATTGGGGTAGGGTTGACGGTGGGGCCGAGGGAGATCGTGAGCAAAGATGTAGAGGCACCTACACGTTTCTTTTTCAGAAGCGACCTCAGGCTAGTTGTCGGGCCCGCCTGGAGCAGGTGGCCCACACCTGTATGCCCTGGAAGTTGGGCCTTCTTGCCTCTCCCGCCCCTTGGTCTGTATCCCAGGTCCCAAGGTTGAAGATGCCAACTGAGATCGTGCCAGGACACGCCTCATTCTGCACATGCGTGCTGGCAGAGAATGTTTCTGCTCAGTTTATGCCATTATCTCTATTTATATATACCTCTTTCTTTTTTCTTTATTTTGCAGAACCTTTTGAGAGTTAGTTGCATACATCATGATGGCTAACCCATCAATAATTCCGTATTCTACATGACTACAGTGCAATCATCACTGCAATTTTTGCAGTTAAATTTGGGAAATTTAACATTGATACATGTTATAACGTAATATTCAGTCCATACCCAGACCCGTTGTTCTGCAGAATACTCCTCAAATTGGAGTTGTCTGATAAGTGATATTCTAGCCTCAGTATATTATATATATCAGGATGCATTTTATATTGATTTTTCTCATCATCTGAGATACTAAGTTTGATTGTCTGGTTAGGGTGGTATCCACCAGATTCTCCATTGTAAAGATATCTTTTTTTGCCTTTGTAATTAAAAAGTAGTCTGTGAGCCCTGGCCTGTGTGGCTCGGTTGATTGGGCATCATCCGTGGGTCCACCTCAATTCCCAGTCAGGGCACCTACCCCAGTTATGGGCTCCATCCCTGGTAGGAGGCATGCTAGGTGGTCAGTTGATGTTACACTCTCACATCAGTGTTTCTCTCTTTCCCTCTCCTGTCCTCTCCCTCTGAAAATCAACAAAAAAAAATTTTTTTTAAAGTAGTCTATGACATAGTAGTTTGATACTCTGTGAATAGTTTTTCACCTTAATAGTTTTTCACTCAAAGATCCATTGATATTTTTTGCCTGAACTATTTATAACATGATTGGGCAGTTCACTCTTAAAATTTAAACCAATACACCTTTTTAAATCTTTGTTGTGTAATAAAGTTACACACACATAAAAAATGAACAAAATGGAATGCATAGCTCAATGATTTATCACAAAGTGAACACCCTAAACACAAATAGGTTTTAAGAAAATGTTCTAAAATTAGAACATTTGTAGAATCTGAATATTAGTATAGAAACAGCATAGTGAGCTAGATTCATCCTTTCACTTGGCTACTGATGATCATTTAAACTTAATGGTGTCAGCAGTATAGTTGGGTAGAATAAACTAGAGGCATATTTCCAAAGTTACCGGCATACTGTTAAAAAGACATGCAAAGCCAGCCAATAAGTCTGCTTACCTGAATGTGTTCTGCAAAAATTTAGAGAAAGCTGGCAATAGTAAAGCCATGTTACGAGCCTTAAAGACATTGAAGTCATTAAGGTCCCTGAAAATGGCTATAAGAAGTAAAAAAAAAAAAAAAAAAGACATGCAATAAAACGTCCTTGAATTTTAACTTGCATTTTTTCAAAAGTTTTTTACTATATCTTCTTGCAAAAGATAATTATGTTAGACTAGAGGACCAGTGCATGAATTCGTGCACCAGTGAGGTCCCTCAGTCTGGCCTGCAGGATCAAGCCGAAACCTGCTCTCCAACATCCCCTAAGGGGTCCCAGATTGCAAGAGGGTGCAGGCCAGGCCAAGAGACCACACCGGTGCACGATCGGGCTGGGGAGGGACTGCAGGAGGGCTTCAGGGCATGTCCGGCCAATCTCACTCAGTCTCACTCAGTCCTTTTCGGCCAGACCCCAGCAGCAAGCTAACCTACCAGTTGGAGCATCTGCCCCCTGGTGGTCAGTGCACATCTTAGCGACTGGTCTACCAGTCAACTGTCTGCCCCCTGGTGGTCAGTGCACGTCATAGCTAGCGGTTGAGTGGCCTTAGCATATCATTAGCATATTGTGCTTTAATTGGTTGAACGGATGACTGGACACTTAGCATATTAGGCTTTTGTTATATAGGATTGCTTAGACTAGTGTTTCAGACTCCAGGTTAAGGTGCATTAGTGAGTTTTGAAATCAGTGTTATGGAAACACTTTAAGTCTTTTCTTTTTTAATGTTTTTATTGATTTCAGAGAGAGTAAGGGAGAGGGAGAGAGAAATGGAAACATCAGTGATGAGAGAGAATCATTGATCGGCTACCTTCTGCACGCCCCCTACTGGGGATCTAGCTCGCAACCCTGGACATGTACCCTGACTGGGAATTGAACCATGACCTCCCCGTTCATGGGTTGACACTCAACCAGTGGGCCACACCGACTGGGTAACACTTAAGTATTTTTAAAACATTAACTAGAAAGCAAAATACCAAAATCCATCGCACATAGTAAGGGTAAGTATTGTTTTGTGAAACTTTTGTTTATATATTCACACATTTGTGTTGGATCTTAATGTAAAAATTATTTATGTAGATTCTATCAAAAATTTGAAAGCCACTTTAGAATTTGAATACAAGTTGATTTTTCAATGTAAAAAGAGATTTCAAGTTATTGGTAAGGGCACATCTATTGGCAAAAAGCAGCAAGAACAGAGAATGAGAAAAAAACAGAGAAGAAAATGGTATACAGAAGTTTAATCTAGAGCCACTGAAACCAGGGTAAGACTGGTAGGGGAGCTTCCTACCAGTCTTACCCTTTATAACTTGCTCAGATTTTATGAGCAAGTTATAAAATCGAAGAGGCAGGTGCTGTTTAACACCAGACAGCCATATTTTGAGCACCTAGAGCAGTGGTTCTCAACCTTCCTAATGCTGTGACCCTTTAATACAGTTCCTCATGTTGTGATAACCCCCAACCATAAAATTATTTTTGTTGCTACTTCATAACTGTAATTTTGCTACTGTAAACAATATGTAATTATATATGTGTTTTCCAATGGTCTTAGGTGACCCCTGTGAAAAGGTCATTCGATCCCCACAGGGGTCAAGACCCACAGGTTGAGAACCGCTGACCTAGAGTATGTCATGCCCTTGTGTGTACATCAGCAAATCACCCTCAGGCTGAGTTCAGTAGTGACTTACTGTTAGCATGGTTTTACATTTCTACATTGTAAGGTTTACTTAATCCAGACTAGCTTTGTATACGTTTTTATTCAGATCTGAGACCTACCTATTTCAATTTGAGATTTTTGTAAGAATAGGCATTATGGTTCTTTTGAGAGCAGTTCTTATTTAACAGTCTTAAAATAGATAAAGTCAGTTTTATAAGTTTAGAAGGAATACAGACTACTGTAGTTAAATCTCTGAACAAATTTTTCCTTCCTAATTAGTCTTTTTTAAAATCGATTTTAGAGAGAAAGGGAGAGGGAGAGAGAAACATCGATGGGAGAGGGAGACATCAATTGGCTGCCTACTATGCACCCCCTGCTGAGGATTGAGCCCACAACCAGGTCATGTGCCCTGACCACAGGGAATCGACCCAGCCACCTCTTGGTGCTTGGAACAACGCGCAGCCACTGAGCCACACCGGCGGGACTCCTGATTAGTTCTTTATTTTTTTATATGTCTACTGGTATTTTCCTATTTAAGTACTTTCTGTGCTTACCACATCAAAACAGTAGGGTGTTCAGACTTGTTAGGTGAAGTGGTTGCTTTAAGAGGCTTCACCTAATGATCTTAAAAAAAAAAATGTATTATTATAGAATTGTTCAAACATTTTGAATAGGAATAAAACTACATAATTTTCATCTTTAAAAACATTTTGCAGCCTTAGTTTACTACAATATTTTTCTTTCTAAATTCAGCAATTCATGATGACCAATAAACTGGACACAGCAATGTGGCTTTCTCGCCTGTTCACAGTGTACTGTTCTGCTTTGTTTGTTCTGCCTCTTCTTGGGTATGTATTATATCTATTTCTGTCTTTGTTATTCAGTTGTTCAGTCAGTTTTTATGGAATATCTTTTAAGTGCAAGACTTGCTAAACTGCAAGGGATTCAGGGACAAATAAAAGACAAGTCTTATCTTTAAGGCACTAATAACCTAATGTTACTAACAGGAAGAATATTTTATATTATGTACTATGTGGAAACTGACATCACATTGAAATCTGATAGAAAATAGATGTGTGGAAATGAGAATTTTTTTTTGCATTTTTTACTTAATAGGAAAAATGGCTGCTTTGTAAAATTCAGTTGGGTATATATATGAAATGATGCTTCTAATAGATTCTAGTAAATTCTAAAAATGTATTTTTATTGATTTCAGAGAGGGAGAGAGAGAGAAACATCAATGATGAGAGAGAATCATCAATCTGCTGCCTCCTGCGCGCGCGCGCGCGCACACACACACACACACACACACACACCCACACCCACCCACACACACACACACACACACACACACACACCTTGGGGATCGAGTCTGAAACCCGGGCATGTGCCCTGATGGGGGCTTGAACCGTAACCTCTTGGTTCATAGGTCAATACTCAGCCACCAAGCCACACTGGTGTAATTTTTTTCTGTTTATAATTAAGTAATAGATTTAGGTGTTGTGCAATTATGATGCAATTCACAAAGGAGGAAGAGGCATGGTAGTTGTTTATGTCTCATGATAACCTCTCCTCTGGTAATTTGCAGGTTGCATGAAGCAGCAAGCTTTTATCAACGCGCTTTGCTGGCAAATGCTCTTACCAGTGCTCTGAGGCTGCACCAAAGATTACCGCACTTCCAGTTAAGCAGAGCATTCCTGGCCCAAGCTTTGCTAGAGGACAGCTGCCACTACCTGCTGTATTCACTCATCTTTGTCAATTCCTACCCTGTTACAAGTATCCTTTGTACCTTTTGACAATGAAATTGCCCATTGCTATGGACAGAGTAGAAAATAAAATCACTGGATAATCTCAGGAGCTAATGAGAATTAAAGAACTCATTTGGAATTTGTATGTTTACACATTTCAAAAGTGTGGTGGGATGATAATAGGTATTCAAAAAAAATGAGGGGAAGGGATAAAGAAGGGGGTGTGCTGTTTAGTCTGGGAAGCACTAGGTTAACCCATAGGTTTCTTTACTATAGGACCTTTGAAATGCTAATGTACTTTGTGAGACTAAAAGTTACTAGTGTTTCCTAAACTTAATTGTTTTGTTATTTTCCTCCTGTGGATCATCTCTCAGGAAAGTGGTTTGTGCTTTGAGAAGTGCTGCTTTTAAGAGTTTTTGAGTAATTTATACAACTATACGTAATGGAAGCACAATAAAATATATCTTTAAAACTAAATACTACCTTTTTAGATAATAAGTCTTAAAGGGAGTGGGAGGAAAGTGAAATTTTTTGAGCACCTATTTTGCCAATATATATGAATTTTACATATTTAATCCTTGCAACACTGAAAAAAATTGTCACTGCACTCATTTTAGCAGATGCCATTTCAGATGTGAATATTTGGACATAATACAATAGCCTGTTTTGCAAAGTACTTGATGAATTTAAAATGTTTTCCTTAATTGTTTTCTTCAGTGAGTATTTTCCCAGTGTTGTTATTCTCTTTGCTTCATGCTGCCACATACACAAAAAAGGTTCTTGATGTAAGTAAAAATATGCAGGGATTTTTTTGGGGGTTTTTGTTTTCTTTTTTACTCCTGAATGAATTTGAGCTAGTTGATACGAATTTGAACACTAAGACATTTTGACTTTTGTTACAAAAAGCTCCTCTAATTCTTATAAACTTGTCCTAAATTATTTAATGATTTGAAAGTTTTAAATTTGGAATATTTTATTTATATTTCATAATACAGTATATTTTGTAGATAAAATATTGCATTTAAAATTATCCCCCAGTTGCCAGAGGAATTTCTGAAGTTGAAATCTCTTCATTATTTAAAGGAATTGAATCTTTTAGGTTTGATAAGTTGTTAGAGAGCTCTTGTTCTGTCAGTGTTTAATTCTAACATATCAGGCAAGTAGAGTGTACTGAATTTTACTCTAATGTTCTGAACTGCTACTTTACTAAAATTTCTTATGTTTGGGTTGGAACATTAAGCCCAACCAACGTAAGTGTGCTAGGCCAGGGGTCCTCAAACTGCGGCCCGCGGGCCACATGCAAATACAAATATTGTATTTGTTCCCGTTTTGTTTTTTTACTTCAAAATAAGATATCTGCAGTGTGCATAGGAATTTGTTCATAGTTTTTTTTTAAACTATAGTCCGGCCCTCCAACGGTCTGAGGGACAGTGAACTGGCCCCCTGTTTAAAAAGTTTGAGGATCCCTGTGCTAGGCAAATTGACTGCATATGCACCGGAATTTGAATTAAAATACCAAATTTGCCTGTGTTGGCCTTTTTCTTTATCCCTATTGTTCTTTGGTCACAGCAGTAATTAGACTCGGTGATTTCTACCTTTAGTTAGCTAAGGAGTCACAGATACTTGAACTATATTACTGGATAGTCAGGTTTTGTTATAGTTGGAGAGAAATAACCACCATTTTTCTAATCTTAAGAAATGTAAAGGACTTGTATTAAAGTTGTTTTTATTTTTAAATCTTCAAGTACATAAAATATAACAAAGCAGGAAAATACACTAACTTTTGTCCTTACATAGTTTCTATATTTTATGTCATCATTTCCAAATATTTGTCTTGCTTGTATGGCCTGTTGAATATGCTATTTATCTAAAGAAAGAAAATAATTGAGTGATCAGAAATGCTTTGTTATTTTTAATGTTTGTTTTCTTATGTTTTAGGCAAAGGGTTCAAATAGTTTACCTCTGCTGAGATCCCTCTTGGATAAATTAAGCGCTAATCAACAGAATATTCTGAAATTCATCGCTTGTAATGAAATACTCTTGATGCCTGCTACAGTTTTTATGCTTTTTAGGTAAGAATGAAAATACATTTGTTTTAGGAGGTTGATGACTAAGTGACTATAATAAATATATTAACTCAAATTTTATCCTGCTTCAATCTGTTGAAGTAGATCCTGATATGTAGAGCTAGATGGATCTTAGCAATTCTCTTTTCACTTTATAGTGGAGAACCTGAGACATTATAGTAAACCTGGGAACATGTCTTTTTATCATTCTTTGTCATGTATCATTTAACATTTGGAAAGTTAATTTCAGAATAACTACCTTTGAAAGAATCTTGGGAAGTGTAGTCCATTCTATTTTTAAGATGATTTTTCTTTGTACTAGAGAAAAATCTGGAATTAATTGTTGCCTATTGTTCTTCTAATTAATTATGGTCTAGAACAGGGGTGGGCAAACTTTTTGACTCGAGGGCCACAATGGGTTCTTAAACTGGACCGGAGGGCCGGGACAAAAGCATGGATGGAGTGTTTGTGTGAACTAATATAAATTCAAAGTAAACATCATTACATAAAAGGGTTCGGCCTTTTATTTTTTTAGTTTTATTCATTTCAAACGGGCCGGATCCGGCCCTCGGGCCGTAGTTTGCCCACGGCTGGTCTAGAATTAATTGTTGCCTATTACCACCTTAATAGTTTATATCTTAATTGCAGAAGTAAGGCAAAAGAGAGAGAGAGAGAGAGAGAGAGAGAGAGAGAGAGAGAGAAAGAGAGACAAATAATACATGAATAAAGAAAGTCTTCCTTTTAAAATTTAAGAAAAGTAGAGTATTGACCACTCCATCAATATTCTTGCATTTAAGTTTTAAAACTACATTTCTGTCAGGATTATTGCTTTTTCAATTTTTAGTTTCACAAGTATTGGGACACTGTTTGACTATGAATCCTAGTAGCAATTCTGTTCTCTCCTTCCCAGATATATGGAGTTTGATAATGTGTACATGTATGTTGTCTTTAAAAACACTTATGCAGATGGGTATAAAGTGTATATTATTATATTGTGGGTGAGGGATTTTGTTTAGTTTTTTTATTATGTCAAAAGTGTTATAATGCATCAATTGTCTGCATCTTGCCTTTTTCACTTATACAGTGTATTTTTGTGACCTTTTTATGTTGACATATAGAGTTCTTTTTTTATTTTAATATATTTTATTGATTTTTTACAGAGAGGAGGGGAGAGGGATAGAGAGTTAGAAACACCAATGAGAGAGAAACATCGATCAGCTGCCTCCTGCACACCCCCTACTGGGGATGTGCCCGCAACCAAGGTACATGCCCTTGACCGGAATCGAACCTGGGACCCTTGAGTCCACAGGCCGATGCTCTATCCACTGAGCTAAACCGGTTAGGGCGACATATAGAGTTCTTATTTGTGGCTGTGTAGTGTTCCATCATGTTAGCATGGAACATTTTATTCTGCATTTCCTTATTCATGGACATTTGTTTCCAACTATTTACTTTTCCAAATATTGATGCAGTAAACATGTTTTTATTTGTCTGCTTACTAGTATACTTTTCTCTCAGTGTTATCTCTAACATAGATACCCGAATTGATTTTGCTGAGTTTAAGCTGGGTGCATTTTATATTTAATAGACCATGGTTTATGAAGTATTTTAATGTTCGTTGCCTGAGGTTTTTATGTACCTGACAGTTATTCCTTTCTTTAACACTCTCTTTTCAAGGTAGTAAGAGTTTTATAGATTTTCTCATAAAGGCATCTGTTCCATTCCTTTAAGTTATGTTTTCCCCTGAAAAAAAAACAGAATCACCACATATTGCTTAAGTTGCTGGGTCCAAAATAGATAGTATAACCTAAATATAATTCTGGAATGATATAGTGGATTTAGATATGATAGGTATTACTATGACCATCTATATATATGAAAGCCTAAGCAACCATCCGACCATTCGCCTGGTAGCTATGACACTCAATGACCACCAGGGGGCAGACGCTCCAACCAGTAGAGGAGGGAGCCCGATTCCTTGTGGAATCGGCCATGGGTTAGGTGCTGCTGGGGCACTGTCGGCTCCAAATCTGCTTCACCCGCACCCCAGATTGCGAGAGGGCACAGGCCAGGCTGAGGGACCTCACCGGTGCTCAGAGGGGCCTCTAGTTTGATTAATAAAGACACATCCTCCAATTAAATTGCCTTTACGTTTTGAGAGTATGTATATGAATTAATGATGTATACTTATTACCTCTGTATTTGTTTCTTTTAGCGGTCAAGGAAGTTTGCTCCAGCCTTTTATATACTATAGATTTCTTACTCTCCGATACTCTTCTCGAAGAAATCCATATTGTCGGTAAGCTGGGGATTAGTTCAAATCTGTTTTATTTGTTAAGAGTATTGTGAAATACAGTATTTGTAACGTTTACGTTATTTTGCTTTTTTAAATATATGTGTTTTTTTTAATTTCAGAGAGGGAGAGATAGAAACATCGATGAGAGAGAATCATTGATTGGCTGCCTCTTGCACGTCCCCTACTGGGGACTAAGCCCACAACCTGGGCATGTGCCCTGACCAGAAATTGAACCATGATATCCTGGTTCATCATAGGTCAAAGCTCAACCACTGAGTTAAGTTAGTTCAGTTTTATGTTAGAATTTAGAAGCAAACAATGTTTTTATACATTTAAACTGTAGGCCTTAGAACTGCCTAGGGTTGGTGAGAAGGTGGTTGTATTTTCTTTTTAAAAAAAATATACTTTTATTGATTCCAGAGAGAAAGGGAGAGTGAAAGACAGAAACATCAATGAGAGAGCATCATTGATCGGCTGCCTCCTGCACGCCCCACACTGGGGCCCGAGCCCACAACCCAGCATGTGCCCTGACCGGTAATCTGTGACGTCCTGGTTCATAGGTTGATGTTCAACCACTGAGCCACGCCAGCCGGGTGGTGGTTGTATTTCTTTTTAAAAACTGAGATTGGCCCTAGCTGGTGTAGCTCAGTTGTTGGGCATTGTCCCATGCACCAAAAGGTTTCTGGTTCCATTCCCAGTCAGGGCACAGCCTGTGTTGTGGGCTCCATCTTTGTTAGGGGGCATGCTGGAGGCAGCCAATTGGTGTTTCTCTCACACATGGATATTTCCAAATTTCTTTCTTGTCTTTGTGTGAGGGCATATCACATCCCCCTTTTTTTTAAATCCTGAGGATATGTTTTCATTGATTTGTTCTTTTTTTTTTGAGAGAGAGAGAGGAGAAACATCGATCAGTAGTCTCCCATACGTACCGTGACCAGGGATTGAACCCACAACCTTTAGGTGTATGGACAGTGCTCTTAAGTAGCTGAGCCACCTGGCCAGGGCTTCTTTTTTATTTGTTTGTTTGAGCAGTAGCTTATTGCTTTTTCCTAACCATAAAAATAACATGGAAGATACAGAAAAGTAGAGCAGGAGTTGTCTTTATACAGGATGAGTCAGCACATAAGGTGAAAATTATTACCGTTGATGATCGATTACAGTACAGGATACATGATACTGTGTCTGCTAGCCTGTACAATATATGTGTGATGTGTAGCGTGTGTAATAAAGAGTACTTTGTAGGCAACGAGCACAATTAAGGCAAAGTCAAGTCTTCAACCTGTTTTGGGCACAAACATGCAACATAACTGGAACATGGGAGTCGTGGCAGAGAGTGGCAGGAGATGAAGAAGAAAATTTGATTGAGACCAGATTCTGGAGGGCATTAGATGTTAAGGAGTTGGGCTTTAGTCTGAAGGAAGACAAGTGCCAGTTTGATCAGTGTAATGATCCAACTGGGAACTAATATCCATTGAACATCTTCTGTGTTATCTCATTTAAACTTCACTACAACTCCATAAAGTGCCTATTCCTATTTTTCAGATGAAAGTTCTAGGAAACAGTATATTTATTTAAGGAAATAGTAGGTGGGATTGCCCATGTTATATAATTTTCACTTTCTTACTCTCTTTTTTAGAGCTAGTTGAATTTGCCTAAGTGTGAAAATGATATGATTCTACTGTAAAGATATAAGTCAGGGGTCCTCAAACTTTTTAAACAGGGGGCCAGTTCACTGTCCCTCAGACCGTTGGAGGGCCAGACTATAGTTTAAAAAAAAACTATGAACAAATTCCTATGCACACTGCACATACCTTATTTTGAAGTAAAAAAACAAAACGGGAACAAATTTGTATTTGCATGTGGCCTGCGGGCCGTAGTTTGAGGACCCCTGATATAAATCAGCCCTAATCTCAGCCCTCAGAGGTAGCCCTTTATTAAATGCTTTTGTTAAATCAACTTTTCTCCCCAAAAGGACAGGTGTTGATTTGAGAATTTTATTTTGTGTTTTCTGGGGGAAATTGTTGGCATTGCATTCTAGTTATTTCTTTTACTTCTTCAAATTCTTAAATGGCTGTGGGAAATTCCTTCATTAGCATTTGCCTTGCATTGTGTTGCTTCTTCCCTTGTGTTTCTGAAAGAAAACTATTTTATCTTGCAGGACCTTGTTTAATGAATTGAGGATTATTGTTGAACATATAATAATGAAACCTGCTTGCCCTCTGTTTGTGAGAAGACTTTGTCTCCAGAGCATTGCCTTTATAAGCAGATTGGCACCAACAGTTGCGTAGTTTAATATCCAGCTAAGTTATATATGATATAAGTAAGCATTATTAGCAGTTGGTACTTCTGCCAGGGGTTGTGAATTCCAGGTGTGAAACTGACCTCAATCCAACTTACATAATTTACATAAATGCATCTTAACGGAAAAATAATATTTTCCTGGCATGTTAAATCAAGCCTTTATAAAAAAAAGTTTCCAAGAAAATTCTGTGTTGTGTTGTTAATGGTTAAGGAAGTTTGTGTTTTGTAATAAATGTATCACATTTTTTTTAGATGCTACTGTGCCTTTATCATGTACATTTATTTCTCTTGTGAAAATAGTTCTAAAATTTGTTTCAACCTAATTGGTAATCTGAATTTATTTATATCTGGCATTAGTTCATTATGGTAAATTTACATATTCAGTATATTTTGAGACAGTATTCTTTTGCCATTTATGAATTTTGGTTAATGATTTTAACAGAAGCATTTCCCACTGTATTTGGTTTCAAATTGTCATTAAATTGATTTTGTGCTGCTTTGTTAGGATAGATTTATTTTGGATGTGCCATTATAAGAGGAGTTCTGTATGTGTCTTACACTATGACCTTCTAAAATTTTATTTCCATAATTCTGTGGATTTGAATATTTTTTTAAAAGGCTCAACTATAAGCTTACTAGCCAATTAAGTAAATATTTGGAATTACCTAACCATTTTACATCAGAGAGCAGTAGTCCTACAACTTTCCTTTCAGACCCATTGAGTAACATTTCTCAGACAGGAAATCCTTTTACAGTGTGGACACGTAGGTTATTAGTTTAGTTTTAGAATTGCCTAGATCAGATTCTTGACTACCAACTTTCTCTGTTTCTTAGGCTTGAATTTTCATGGACAGTTGCAGCAGTGCAGGTACCTTTTGAAAAGAATATAACTGAAGATCATATGACTGATACTTAGTGTCTGTTCTGAAATAATAATGAAGACTATCCCATAGATTATATTCCCAGCAAATTTTATTGAAAGCTTAAATGGAAAGGTTTATGGGTAAGGTGATTCATTGGGAATGGTGCCTGAGGAGGCATTTTGGGAGAATAGTGTACATTTCAGTTTCATGCTGGATAAATAAAATTGGGGGAATTGGATGTATTATGCAACTGTGATTTGAGTTGTGTAATATGTTAAATCCTACTTGTTGAGCTTCTATCAACTCTATAAAATTTATTTTGATCTTTACTGTTACATGATTGGAAATGTGTAAAATGTTGCAAAAATTTTAGTACAGAATAATGTAATGGTTTTTGTAACCAATTTTCTTCTGTCTGCATGTAATATGGATTCTTCAAATACATTCATTGGTAACTTATTAGTAACATTAGGTTTTTTGTTGTTCAACTTTCAGATCTATAGAAATGTGATATCTATTTGATAGCTCAACCATAACCAGCTCTTTTTGTAATATTTTTCTACTAAGTTAGAGAAGCAGCCTCATAATATACAGTTGATTTTGTGTGTGTACGTGTTTGTGGCTAGCCTCATTATCACTATATATGTAATCTGATGATTTCAAGAACTAAATTTTCTAGAGCAATAAAGTGACTATAATGTTAAGTGAACAGTATATTATTGATTTCTAATGAGTTTTTAAAAATTATGTCTTGAATTAAATCAAGAAATTTTGGCAGTGAAGGCATATTTATTTTTAAGTTTAGTTTTTTTTGTTTTTTGCAATTTTTTAAATCTTGAGATACTTTTAGATTTATAGAAGAATTGCAAAAATAATACAGAGAGTTCCTATATATCCTTTACTTCCCCTTATGTTAACATTTTATATAACTATACAACATTTATCAAAATTATGAAATTAACCCTGGATAACATTGTTAACTAAAGTATAGAACCTATTCAGGTTTCACCAGTTTTTACATTTGTTAATATTCTTTTTGCTCTGTTTTTACCATGGTTATTATGGTTTACTTTTAATGCCCTTTAAGTGTGCCTCTTGTTTTGAGTTTTTCTTTTTTTATTTATTTATTTTTATTGTTGAGGGTGTTACAGATGTTCCCTAGTTTCTCCTCTTTGCCCCTGAGTTTTTCTTTTGAAAATTACTGTTGGTCAAAAAGATTTTCTAAGGAAAAGAATTCATGTTGATTTTAACAAAAAGAAAGTGAACATTTAGACCCTTCAAGGCTTTCTATCAAAAACAGGATTGTATTTCTGACATGCTCATGTTTGACTTAAAGGAAGGCTTGCTTTATAAATAAAACATTTCTATACTCATGCCAAAGTAAATTTTACAATTTGAACATTACCAGATGTTCAGTTTGCATGAAATTCTATGGTATGAAAATGTACAAACGGCTGATAACAGCATCTGAAATTAGAGTGTAACGTATACCTATTAAATCAAAATTAAGGAAACACAATACAGTATATAAAATGAATACAGTAGAAAAAATAGCAGTATACCTGAACTTATTTCTACTAACAGGTTTTTAAAAAGTTGATTTAACATCCAAAATAGCGAATTCTTTAAGAGGTGGTACAGTGCTGCTGTTTTTCTAGCATTTTTAGATATCACACCCTTTCATACAGGTGGAAGCATCATACAAAACCTGCTTTATCTAGCAACAAGTCTACATTCCTTTTCTCTACTTGATCCCTCATAAATTTAAACTCTAACATCATTCCAAAGAAATTTCTTAAATAACAATTTGTAGTTAAAGTTACTTGGAATAAAGTGACCAAGGTAGATGCTCCTGGAAGTAAGCAAGAATGAAAGCTTTTATTTTTTTATTTAGATATTTAAGAACCTCCCTTACAGGAAAAATCAAGGCATGTTAATAATAGACCAGAAGTTATTAAAGATTCATGAGGTCTTGTATAACTAAGAATTATAAAGCTGTCAGAATACTTCCTTTCTTCCTAAAAGTCAGGTTCACAAATTCAGATTAGGTTTGTAAGTTTAGGACATAAATATTATTCATCTGGAAAAAGAAAATGAGTATATGTAATAAGATAAGTAAACTGGTTTAGTTGTTTTAAAGTTTGCTATCAGAATAAATGAAATTAATTTTGAGGGATTGTGGGACTTATTTTTATTAATATAGTTATTCTAAAGCTTCTTCCCTACCCAAATCCCCTTAAGATCTGCTAGCATCAACGCTATTACCCAGATTTAGATTAACTTTGCTACCTATTTTGTCCAAAACCTCAAGGGAGAAAATAATTACAGATAGGTATGAAAATAATTACAGACAGGTAATTACAGATCAGTAGGTGGCACTCTTTCCTCAAGTAGCCTCCATGTCACAGGCCCTGTTGGAAGGTTAAAAGCCACTAAAAGGGCCGAGTCAGCCATAAAACGAAGGATCTTAATTCCATGACCTTTTAAAATATGTAATTACTCAATATTCAACCAATATTTAGCAAGCATTTATTCTGAATACATTTTTTAAATATTGAAATGTTCAAAAGCTGAAAGAAGTATCCTGCTAATACCTGCTTTCTAGGTAAATAGTAAAATAGGCCACAGTTATGAGTGGTATTATGCAGATCATGGTCTCTCTTTTTTTTAAATTTCATTGTAAGTTTCTACATCACCTAAACACATCAATTATGAAGTTGTTCTTTCTCCTTCATTTTCAGGTGTGTAGAATAATGGTAAATAAAATTTTTTCATGATCATTTTGTAGGTACACAAGGTTATAGGCAGTTCAGTGTCTTAAAATTTAAACTTTCATAGAAATACAAATGCATATTGAAATATTTGGATATTGTATTAGGAATGGTACCTAGCCCTAGCTGGTTTAGCTTAGTGGATAGAGCGTGGGCCTGCGGACTGAAGGGTCCTGGGAAGAGTACATGCCTGGGTTGTTATAATTTTATTAACCAGTGTCACTCGAATAAATTCAATTAAAAAAATTTGGGCAGGGGAGCTTTCCTTATAGTAGTAGTCATTCTAGGTAGGACATGTTTACCTCCTAAGGTGACATTCAAGTGGGTTCTTAAACACATTCCTGTGTGAGGGATTAACTCTAAGTAGTCTTTCTCTTTTTGTGTAGTGCAAATAGGAAAACTGACCTGCATTGACTTTTAGATAATGTGAGAAGAGAATAAAGTACAGTATTTTTTTAAATCTAAAGTAGATTATTTTTCTTAAAAAGTGATAGTAAAAAATTATTGATGGATATCTTTGCTGGAATCTAAAAAATAGCTCATATTCCAGGACAAAAGGGCCCCAAAATCATTTCACTTTTTCCTTCCTAGCCTTCTGAAGCTACTTTTTTGATGTGTTCAGCATTTTTTAAACATTTTTTTCTTGGTTCATGACAGTTTAGCTCCAAACTTGGACTATATTTTTGTAACTTTAAAATAAAACAATTGCTTTTGACATGAATTTTTGCATACATACATAAGTTAGACCAAATGGGCAAAGTCTTGGGCAGGTAACATTTGTGATGTGTTATATTGGAAGAAATGTTAAAGGGTCTCAAAGATTAGAGTCATAAAAAAAACTGCTTGATTTATAAATGCATTACTTCTGGTGCTCTACATAATGGGATATATTGAACTAAAAAATTGTATAAATGATATGTCAGCATTTCTTAGTAACTTCTTGAATCCATTTTTAATATCTAATATTGTACAGGTTGGGGAGTTATACTTTTCAGGCCAATACTATCCAGACTGTATAAATTTATAAAATAAATTGAAAAATTCATCATTCCCTGGTATTCAAGACCAAAGCACATAAATGCTAATGTAGGGCTCAGAGGGGAAATATATTTCTCCTGAATATTTGAGAAAATGTGAAGTCCTTTCAGGAAAATCTAATAAACATAATAATCATAGCCTGCTGACACTAAGGAAAAAGGACCTCATTTGCTCTTTCTTTTATGCAGCGATTTACTGGTCCCTACTGATTTCCAAATTGGATCACTGTAGTAAATTATCTATGCTGGTACCTGTGAAAGTAAGCCCTGGGATCCACATTTGTTTTGTGTTCTGCTTAAATCAGCAAGAATGATAAATTTGCTGGTGTGGAATTGGAAGTGTCAAGGGCTTTCTCTGGTGATTGAGCAAAATAATGTCTCCACTTGTAATTTATTGTGCCCCTTTTTCACTGTATGTTCTTTGTATATCTAATATTTATTTCAGTACAAATTAAATTGTTGTTCCTTCATCTGTATTGTTATATCTAAGATTTTATTGATGTAAAAATCAAATTGTGTAATAAAAACCTCTCTGGATTTAAGCAGATTTGAAAATGTTACGTTGCAGAAAACATTTACAGTTAGAATTCAGCTTTCCATTGTGCTTCATTGCCTTATTGTTAGGATAAGGAGAATTTGAACATTTCTGTTGTCCTCAGTTCATCACAAATAATAGAAATGGTAGAATTTTGTGGTCTAATATGAAACTGGAAAAAGAATTACAGTGGATCTCTCCACAGCTTACCTGCTTCCTTCTGTACTTTTTTTGTTAGTGAAATTTACAGCCTACTGTAAAAGTTTTTTATAACCATAAAGTGATTCACAATATACAATACATCCAAAGTCATAAGTCAATACAGGACAACACAAGAATATATTTTCCATCTAGGTGTTTATAGTTGGCAGATATTTATTTTCTGTGTCAATTTTTAACGTGTACTAAGCAAAACACAGTATAACCAAGTTAAACAAATCTTTGTCCATTTAGAGGTCATAATGTAAGAGGCATTATGGAAATCACTTGTGTAAAGACCATTCTGATAGTTGAGTAAATACTAAATTAGTACATGAATTATCCACATAAGGGGAAAAGAGTATTAGGAAAATTGATTTCCTAAAGATTTAATGGTGAAGAGTCTTCCCTAAGAGTCTTATACATTGTTGATTCATATGCTCTTCCCTTTATTGTGTGGGAATACATGGAGCTGTTTTATAACATAATTCTGTGCTTTGAGAAGGAAAGGGTCATCATTCCTCAAGGCTGGCTGAATGGAGAGACTCCTCAAAGAAGTGGCCCACCGAGATCCTTGAGAGTTGTCAGTCTAAGCAGGTGATTTGTCAACAAAGTGTTTTTAAAAATTTATTATGGTGAGTTATGAACTTACATAAAAGTAGAAAGTATAATGAGCCTCCCTTCTATTACCCAGCCTTAAACAGTCCTGCAACCCTGCCTTTTCCTCACCTGCGATCACTTTCCCTTCTGATTTAAGTAATTTCACATTATTTTACACTACTTAGTAAAATTTTCATTATATGCCTCAAATAAAAATCCCTTCTTAATATCAATATAAAAAATAATTAACAGGTTTTTTCAGACTGGATGACTAGAAGTGACTAAGAATAATGCCCTGATGTGAAAAAGGCTTCCACAATTTTATAACAAGCAGGAGATGGAGAGGGAAATTGCTATTTTTCAGAAAAAGACTTTTCTCCCTATATTTGTGCCCTCAGAGAAAGGCCACCATCCTCTTGGCAAAATGATAGATTTTTGCCTTTCCACACTATACTATCCTCCCCTAAAGGAGATAGTTGAAAACATGGAAGTGTGGGATTTTGGTGGTCTTACCAGAAACAGTGGGGCAGGTAAGTTCTTCAAAGAAAGCGAGTACTGTTAACCAAAGAAGGG